CCAAGTCTTTTGAACTTTCAGAGATCGGTGGACATGTTGTGGAGTTCAGGTATCAACTGCTAATAAATTTTCTTGTCATCTCTCTCTTTATGATTTCATCATATAGTTGGTTATGATAATTTTGTATTTTTATGAGCAGTGCGGATCAGTATGGGAGTCGTTTTATTCAACAAAAACTTGAAACTGCCACTACAGAAGAGAAAAACATGGTTTATCAAGAAATCATGCCTCAAGCTCTTGCTCTAATGACTGATGTGTTTGGTAATTATGTGATTCAAAAGGTAAATAATGATCCTTGCACACCTGCTTTAGTTTTCTTTGTACTTGTTAGTGTATGATTCGTGGTAATAATTGGTGTTTTTATTTAGTTTTTTGAGCATGGACTTCAACCTCAGAGAAGGGAATTGGCCAACAAGCTTTTCAGTCATGTACTGACACTTAGCCTTCAAATGTATGGTTGTCGGGTGATCCAGAAGGTACCAATAATTTATGACTAGATCTCTAATCAGCTTTTGACATATTGATGATTGATTGTTCAACCATTTGTTCTGGTAGTACCAGTAGAAACAACTACTGTATCTGTATGCTGTATCCTCTATATTTAACCATTAATTCCATTATTATGCTTTTGTTCAGCAAGGGAGGCTTGATAATAACTACATACCAACGCTCATGATCTGATTGATGTTAATGCTAGTAACTAAGATTCATGTGTTTATCCAAGGCTTGCTATGGTACGTTCTAGCAGTAATGTACTGTTATCATGTTCAGGCAATAGAAGTTGTAGATCTGGACCAAAAGATCAAAATGGTTGAAGAACTTGACGGTCATGTCATGCGCTGCGTACGTGATCAGAATGGGAACCATGTCATCCAGAAGTGTATTGAATGTGTCCCTGAAGAGGCCATTCGTTTTATTGTGTCAACATTTTTTGATCAAGTTGTGACCCTTTCAACCCATCCATATGGGTGTCGTGTGATACAGGTAGAGATACTTAATGCTTTCTTTTCTTTTTGTTCTTTGATCTGGTAATTCTTTTCAACAAAGAACTAATGTGTAATATTCAATAATATTTTCATTTGGCAGAGAGTTCTTGAGCACTGCAAAGATGAGAATACACAGAGTAAAGTTATGGATGAGATTCTAGGAGCTGTTAGCATGTTGGCACAAGATCAGTATGGCAATTATGTCGTTCAGGTTCATACTCTTTCTTATTGATGTACTGTTATTTATGAACTTCATATTGGTAATGTTTGTCTTCTTTTTCCCTTTGGATATGAGCGTTTGTGGTACTTGTTTTGTGGGATACTGATGTTCTTCAATTATTGCTTTCAACTTAATTTTTAAATATTGGTCTAAACATTTCTGTGCCACCTATGCAGCTAAATCCTGACATATCCATCTCTACTCCCTCTCAGCCTTTTATTCTATTACCATTTCATTGTGAACTTATTAACAAGATTTCTGTTCTTCTGGCACACCTCTGCCATCACCCTTTCCCTTTATTGCTTTTTACGCGTCAGGTCATACTCCTCTGTTTCTTGCATTATAGTTTGATAGAACATATAGCAGCAAAGCCATCAACATGTTTTGATTTTTTTTTTCATCGTCAACATGTTTTGATTTTGTTTCGTAATTTTTTGAGTTTGAATGACAACTAAAGTGGCTTGTTTTACCATGTACCTACGATTGGCACTAAGGCGGCACTTCTGTCAAGCAGTCCACAGCTTTAGAAAAACCTTTTGGGGGTTTAGCAGTTTTTCTTTTAGATGTTCATTTGTCCAGCTAAGCCATGAGCATGAAGAGCAACTATTCTCTTGCAGTTAAACTGAGATGTTTGAGATTGAACCGAGACGATCTTTGCCTAGCTTGAACGGAACAAGCTCAAGTTTCATTAGAGTTCAAAGAGATAATCTTTTCTTGAATATGAGCTGAGCTTGAATTTTATTTGTGCTCAAAATATATTTTTCATGCTTATTAGGGACGATTATTTAACTTGTTTGAATGGGAAAACTTAAGCAAGGTGAACTAAGTCAAGTTTTGAGCTGCATGCACACCACTTGGCTTATTTTTTGTTTTTTATTTTTTTAACATGACTACTTGAGCTCTTTTAACAATCCGGTTTTTTGATATTTTAGTCTTATACACAAGAAATTTTATTTTAGTGCCGTGTTAATACTTCTGACCCATGTTTTTCAGTATCTATATGTACATGTAGATAGTCTTCAATGCTTTTGTCGTAAGTTGCTTGATTTCTTTTATAAACAGCATGTGCTGGAGCATGGAAAACCGCATGAGCGCTCTGCTATCATAAAAGAATTAGCTGGGAAAATAGTCCAAATGAGTCAGCAGAAGTTTGCCTCCAATGTAGTAGAGAAGTGTTTAACTTTTGGAGGTCCTGTTGAGCGTGAATTGCTAGTGAATGAGATGCTTGGCACTACTGATGAAAATGAGCCTCTTCAGGTTTGCCACATCTCTATGTGCATGTTACGTACTTTAATCTGTTGAAAATAAGGTCGTGGACTCATTGTTTCTCTGTTAAGTGTAATTGTAAGAAGTGTATACATTATCATCACAGCCATTTGTTCCATCTATTGAATTTTGGAAGCAATTTGACAATATGTTCCTGCCATTTGAGATTTAGTTCTTGAACCTTGTTGGGTTTCTTACCAATACACTGCAAGTATATTGTCATTAGCTGTGTGCATAGTTGTGCTTGTTAGTAGCGTTTCTTACCAATATACTGCAAGTACATTGTCATTAGCACTGTGCATAGTTGTGCTTGTTAGTAGCGGTCCGAACAATACAACTGGTTGAGATTTATTTGGAAAAAAGTAGTTTCATTAGCCTGTGGATCTCCATCGGGATTGAATATATCAGCCGTTGTACACAGGTGATGCAATATGGACCCAAGTTAAGAACTTGCATTTTATCTGTCATGTGAGTACAAAAGTGATCATATCTTGGGGTTTATGCGTACCCATTGTTTCCATGGCGGTTTTAAATGTTTTGAATTCCTTTTGCATGACTAATTCTGATATTATTCTCCTTCCCCTATATTTTAGATATGTATTCTCCCGTCCTCGGCTTATTGCCTTTTTTTTTAATAATTTAACCTGATTATATATGCAGGCAATGATGAAGGATCAATTTGCAAACTATGTTGTACAAAAAGTGTTGGAGACTTGTGATGACCAACAACGTGAACTGATTCTTTCCCGAATTAAAGTCCATTTGAATGCATTAAAGAAATACACTTATGGAAAGCATATTGTTGCTCGTGTAGAAAAACTTGTTGCTGCTGGGGGTAATCCTTCTTCTCTTTGCCTTTTTATATTTTTATGTCTGTACACTGCAAATATTTTTATGACATGCACATACATTCGCTTAATATATATTGAATACTAAAAGAGTTGATGTATGGCTGCGTGCAAATATTTTTCGGTGCCATTTTTTTTTATACCTGCTACCTCGTAAGAGATCATGGAAGGAGAGTTGAATGTGCCACCAATGTGCATGCTGACGTATGTCTCTTACCAGGGATTGGGGTGTCATTCTTGGCTTCCTTTTCTCTTGTTTCTTCATTATGCCATATTTATTACTATATTTATCTTCGTACTGGAATTTTCCCGAGGGGCGATGGCTCATATGTCTTAGCAAAGACAGGTCTCCCTCCTATAATATACATCGTTGCGCTCATGCATTCGTTTATTCAATGCCGAGATGGTATCTTCACTATTGTCTTAACTGTGCCATGATTAATTCTTTGAAGCTTTCTTACGGTAACCTTAATGGTTGCAGAAAGGAGAGTTGCTCAGTCTGCTCAGCACCCTGCTTAGGCGGTGTAGGAAAATAAAGTTGTTTGTACAGCTAACTGAGGCTAGTGTGTGTTTACTCTCCCTTCGTTGTCGTCTCTCTCCCTCGTATCTAGAGCTACTACCGGCTCTGCCTATCTTTCCGAAGACAGGTACGAGGCGGTTTGGAAATAAAGTTGTTTCTTCTATGTACTGGAAAACTGTACATTGTGTAGTTTTAAAGCTTATACGTAGAGTCGAAGCTGGCTGTGGGTTCAGATGATGAACACACCTGATGCCCCTTGCAGAGGAGATAAATGACTATACAAGTTTTTTAAGGGTGTAAAAATGATTAATGGTGAGGTAGTTTATATGTCGACATGACTGTACAAATGTTGCCATGTGGAGAGCTGTTCATGATTAGGCGAGGCCGCGGTTTTTTCTTATGAAGTGTATCGTAATGACTTTGGTTTTTACCTTAATCACATAAAGTACAGTTTTCTATGGAAGTATAATGTTCGTTGCTGCATATCTCATGTATTTGCTGTTTAATCGTATTTTCGCCTTGTCACTGTTCAAATGTGTTGGAATGCTTTGTTACAAGTTCTTCATTTTGAATTGGTTTTTCCTGAATCTTCACCGGAAAACCAAGCCAAGCGTAGTGACGTTGTAGGATTCGTATAGGCGACTTCACTTGATGAGAAAAGGTTTAGGTTCACAATAACTACGTCCTTAGCATTCATATGCATTATATTAAGGCCCCGTTTGGGATTGAGGTGATTTTAAAAAAAGCCACTGTGAAAAAAAGCTGAGGGTCATTTTTGTGTTTGGTAAACTGAAAAAAAAGGGCTTATTTTGGAAGCTGCTGTGAGAATAAGCTGAAAATCAAGGAAAAGCTGAAGCTGCTATTTGCTGCTTTAAAAAAAAGCCAGTTTTTTCAAAGCACACGGAGCTACAGTGCTCCTTTAATGAAAAGACACACTATCATCCTGCTTTTTTTTTTCAAAAACACTTTCACAAAAAAGTTTACCAAACACTCTACTGGCTTTATTTCACAGCCGCTTATTCTCACAGCACAGCCGCTTATTCTCACAGCAGCTTTTTTTCAAAGCACAGCAATACCAAACCAGCCCTAAGAGACATGCGTCACTTTAGGGACTTCTGACTAGAGATGTCACTTTGGCGGTACGTTAAATGACAATTTTGTACCACAACTAAGGTTTTCATCAAAACGAAGTGTCAACTTCATAACTCTACTATTTAAAATCTACAGCAAATGTTTTAAAGGAATCTTACAACGAGCAATGGCATCTCAGTCATCATCTTCTTCATCGATAGTAATCTTTTGGCCGAATCCCTTAGGGCCAGCTCTTGCTCTCACCCTCTTCTTCTTCCCACTCTTCTTCTTGTTAGTTTCCTCATCTTTCTCAAGCTTCTCTCTCTCCCTCTTCTGCAGATAATCTGTCACACCTAGGTATATCACCTGCATTCAAAACCCACCCAAAGTTTTAGCAAAAACCAAGTTTCCTAATCCTTTATTTTCTTTTTCACAAACGAGGGATAATCTCGAGCTAAATTCATCTAAATAACTGTGACAAAGACTCGAACTTGAGTGCAGAGATGGGAGCAAACTGCTATAGCCAACTTGGCTAAGCCCAGGTATGCCAAAACGACGAGTTCAGTAACTTCAAACAAATTTGAACTACACATATGAACATGGTTTCTTGAGTTTACCACAACGGTGATCCTAAACAACCCAAATTAATCAAAACCATATTCCAAAGCCATAAATTTAGTCACTTAAGCAAATTGGGATCACAAAAGGAACATCCTTTTTTTGAAATTACCGCTATGGTGATCCAAAGCAACCAAAGTCCAGCAAGCCAAGTTGCCGAAACTAAACATTTAGCCACATAAACAAATTACGATTCAAAAAAGAGGACATGGTTTTTTGAGTTTAGATATTACCCCAATGGTGAGGATGGAGAGACCAACAAAGGCGACGAAAAGAAGAACAGAAATTGCGACAGACACTCCTTCGTCACTAGAGGCCACTATCTCCTGCGCAGTCTCAAGTGGCACGGAGGCTTCTGCAGGCACGGATTCAGCAGAGGCGGTGGCGCTGATTTGCCAAGTTGGGGTGCTTCTGTGGTTGAGATTATCATTTGGGGTGATGAAAGTTAAGGTCCGTTTGGTTGTCGTTATTGGGGAGGATAAATGGAAGGATGGTTTCAGGGTTGTTCTGAGGAATTGGGAATGGCTTGGCTTGAGAAAATGGGAGGAAGTTGGTGGTGGTGGGGATAGAGATATGGATGTGGTAGCCATGGATATTTGCTACCACTTCTCTCTCTCTCTCTCTCTCTCTCTCTCAGGGGCACAAACAGCCCTCTCAGCAAATGTGGGAGAGGGGGCACAATTGTAAATCTGTTATGATTGGGAGTTTGGCATTGTTCACGGAGGCCCTAAAGCCCATGGCAAGAAAATAGACTAACCAATGTCCAGTCCTAACAAAAAAAAAATGTGGGAGGTTTCGTATTCGATGCTCTGAGTTGATGAGTCTGCTTGATTGTGGCTACGAGTAGGGTGAAATTCCCTATAGCCTCTCCAGACCTGGAAAAGGTAGATAACCATGACTTGCCACCAGTTGTTCTTTTTTTTCTGCAAAAAGAAAAGAAAAAAGTCAAGTCCTAGCACAATAATCCCCCAATTTCAAAGAACAAATGAACTTTGATATATATATATATATATATATATATATATATATATTTTTTTTTTTTTAAAACATAGTGATTTCCGCACACTATCTTTTTATATACCCTATTGATTTTTGGATTTTGAATTGAAACAAAATAAAGGAGAATCAAGAGACTGAAATAAACATGGGTTTGCAAAAGGAGAAAATGAATGTGTTGAAATCATTTTTGTTTCCTGTTGAGTTTTACAACTTAAGCTTGATGAACTTGGTAAACAGTGACTTAGGAGTGTAATATAATCGGGGTTGGGAATGCTACGCCGCGTACTCATGTGTGAATGTAAGTCGTTGATGCATAAACAACTCATAATCATTCACATGCAGGAACAACTAAGCCAGGCATGCATATTTTTGAACCAAGATTAAGGCTTAACATGCCAAAATTCAGCCCTAACTTGGATTATGAATGAACGGGTTTTGTACAAGTTAACAAATTATCGATATGACCATCCAAAATTAGGGTTTCAATTTGTCAAATTTTGCTCAAATCCACTCCATTTCTCAAGCTAGAACTAAAACTTGTACTCCCGACTCAAATTTAAATCAAGAACACTACTTATAATAACTAATGAGGAACATTTTTGCTTACCACCTTCAAGTGATAGTTATGTAATCACTTTATTTATCATCGTTGAATGAGTTTAAATTTTGAAATTTATATGGTAGATAAACATGAATTTCAAAATTTGAACTCATCAAATAGTAATAAATCAGGTGGTGAGCATTACCACCATTTAAAGATGGTGAGCGAAAAGGCTATCTAACTAATACAAAACATGTAAATGGTCTTAATTGTATTTAGGAAGGATAGTGTTCTTCACACCCCTAATTTTGCCTCCGACACATCTTGTTAATTTTTTGTCATTAATCTTTTTCAATTTGTTCAATTCAACAGCTAAAAATAAAAATAAAAAATGTAAAAAAAACAAAAAAAAAATGTAGATAACACATTTGGACCAAGTGCTTGTTTTGCCGCCGTACGATTAGGTATTCATCACCGTCATGCTCAATACCTACTAAAAAGAACAGCTGTTCACCAACATCTCTCATTTCTCATTGGTCCATCCGCTTTTGAAATAAAATTTTCAAGAAAAAATAATATTCACCATTAATTACCAAAAATACCCCCCAAAAGAGCGAGCACTTTCTTCCGCCAAGGCCATTCCAGTCATTTCAAATTCGGAACACGAGTGCCGAATCGTGAAACGTGTCAACAGATAAGCGCGAGTAGGATTGATGAAATGTGGGGTAGCGAGTGGAGAAGAAAAAGAAAAGGATGAGATATTTAGAAGATCAAAAATATCTGCCTTAAGTCGTCCACGTCGGCGCAAGAGCGAATCAGATATTGCACTTTTTCTACCACAAAGCGTAGAAGAAGAATAAAATAATAAAAAGAGGAAAAAAGGAAAAATAATTTTCCCACCCGTTTTCTCACTTGCCAAACAGTCCTCCGAATCTCCCGAATTCTCCAATCTACTTGTTCCTCTTCTGCTTCTCTCAATTGGTCTTCGTTTTTCTCCTGATTTTTCTCCCAACCCGATCCGATCCCGACACGAACAATTCTATGACAAAAATCTGAAAAAGCAACAAAAAATTTGAAAAAAAAAAAAGAGAGAGAGAGAGAGAGATTGAGCTGTTTGCAAATGGGTGAGGAGGTAAGGATGAGTGAGTACGAAGGCGCTGGTAGCGGCGGCGACGACGAGGCGCGGGTTTCAGAGTGGGAGGCGGGGCTGCCGAGCGCTGATGATTTGACTCCGTTATCCCAGCCGTTGATTCCGATCGAATTAGCCTCGGCCTTCAGCATCTCGCCGGAGACCTGCCACACGGCCTTCGACGTCAACCGCGCGTCGCATAAGACGGTCTCGACGCTCCGCGGCGGCGCCCACTCCCAAGGGTTCTCGTCGTCGAACTACAAGTCGTTCGACGAGAACCGCAGCGACGACGTGGTGGAGCCGATGGTCGTGGAGGTGGACGAGAGCGGCGAGAGGTACGGATCCGATTCGAGAAAGTCGCGGAAGGTCGATTGCAGTACGGAGGAGGCGGATTCGGCGCTGAGGACCGAGAATTTCTCGCCGGACGACATGTCAGCACGGACGCTGAAGCGGCCGCGGCTGGTGTGGACCCCGCAGCTGCACAAGCGGTTCGTGGAAGTGGTGGCCCACCTGGGGATCAAGAACGCGGTGCCCAAGACGATTATGCAGCTGATGAACGTCGAGGGATTGACACGCGAAAACGTCGCCAGCCACCTGCAGAAGTACCGCCTCTACTTGAAGAGGATGCAGGGCTTATCCGGCGACGTGGGGTCCTCCTCGTCGGACCAGCTTTTCGCCACCACGCCGGTACCGCAGAGCTTACGCCACGAGTCTGGCGGTGGCGGCGGTGGCGCTGGGGGCTCGGGTCAGGCGGGTCAGGGTCAGAGCCACGGGCACGCAAATGGGCAGTTTTCGTTTCCGATGCCGTACCCGCCTGCCGGGATGATGCAGATGCCGGTCCTCGGGATGAACCACGGGCACATGGGCATGCCAGGCGGTGCGGGCGGTCACGGCGGTGGGTACCATGGGTTCGAGTCGCACCACTACAACATGGGTTCGATGGTTTCGTACCAACATGCTGGTTCTAATGACAAATGATAAATCTTTACACATTAAAGTTGAGGTGAGTGACTCTCCTGAGCTTGTGCACTGAAGTTTTAACTTTCCAGTTTTTATTTGATTGAATTAGATTGCTGGGAAATTGATTCTATCGTTTGCTTATCTTGTTTGACTGATTGTTGTTTCCCTTATTATATTAGGCCTCATTAATTGAACCTACGGGGTTCGATTTCTCAAAAGGAAAATGATTTCCGCACTCCCTTTTTCTCTCTCCTGGCTCGATTGAATAATGAAGGTGAAACGGGAGTGCGGAAATCATTTCCATTCTTAAAAATGCGCAGTGTATTTTCTGATATAAACTCAAAATAATGATATCGAGGACTAGGCACTTCCTAACTAGGTTTCGGCCCTAAAGTTGAATAATCTTCAGAGTGTTTCCCGACCTGTGTATTATTTTACATCATAAGTTTCGAATGATGAGAGAGTTTCCTTCTTGACTTTCCAAATCCATTTTGTGGACGTAGAATCTCGTCTCACTGCATTTTAAGTTTATGCCTCATATAACAAAAGAGTTGAAGTAATGCCTTGCACTTATTTTGGGATTGAAATGGTGTTTTCCATGTGATATCATTCCGCGTGCACTGGTCTCGTCCATTTTATTTGTCACTTGTTGGAGAAATAAGTGTTTATCCCATTGTAGGAATCACAGCTCATAAGCTTGTGTATCTTTAGCAAGGATTTATAGCAGTTTCTGGGCTTTGTTGTTGTTGCAGCTAGTTTGCGTATAAAATGCAGTTTTGTATTGATGAGCACTGTTGAAATTCCGATTATTAAATGTATGTTTTTGTGTAGATTCAGACGTTTCAGCATGTTGGTTGAAGCTAACTCTTTGAACTCAACCTGTAAGCTTGCTTGATTGGTAATCCCGAACCTGACAGGCATGGGAAGGGTTCTTAGGAATTATGTGGAGAAACTTTAGAGGCATATGGGTTTTGAATGAACAGCCAATGTAGCAAAACTCCCCTCATTAAATGTATACTCCTATTCCAAGTTACGTAACAGGGGGAGGTTCATTCCCAGTCTACATTGTTGACACTGAGGGCATCGAGCACATCCCTGACCTGTTCTTAGTTTATATATTCTTTGTATCAATAAGGTATTAAGCCTTTTCTTTCCAGATTCAATGGAAAGAAGTCAATAAAGATATAGCAATTGTCTGTTACCTGTCCTGCAATCCTGGGTTGAACGCTTTTATCACCTTTTCACCTCCCTTGTCATGTATGGTGATATGTTATGTTCCGACATTTCGTAAATATATTTGCAATTGCTTCAGTTAACCTTTTGACAGTCTCTGCCTTTGTATGTTGCTCTTCAAAATAGCGAATATCTTAGCCAATTCTCCTTGTTTCTCTCGGTTAAAGCTTGGGTTTCTGTTGCATAATAGTACTGGTAGTTCATTCGGGGCATGGATCCTTTGTAAGTGTAGGTCATGATATTTTTTTCTTCTTGGACTTGAAATAGATGTTTATTGTACAATTTATACGCATCATTTGCAGATTGTTCGAAGATAACTACAGAGAGACTTCATCAGATAAAGCGGCGGCCTCTACAACAGCAGAAAAATGGCGTCTACCTGCCCGCAGTGGCATAGAGTGTTCTTTACTAATTGTTTAAGTTATGTTGTCAACTGAAATAATTCATACTGTACCTCTCTACAGATTGTAGTTGAGATCTTTTGTGTTTCTCCATCTACACTGGCTTTGTTCTTAAAATCCTGTCGGGCTGAAACCTACTTGTATGTGGTGAACAAACATCGGTGAGAAGATGTATTTGTTTTGATGATCAATAGTATTTAAATTCATGTTATCATTCTCACTGTTATCCAGTTTCTCTTCCCTCCGCAGGCATAGAAAAGATCAACGGTAGCACCGGCGAAGAAAGTGTGATGAAAAGACTCCGGAATTAGTTCCAACGATCACTTGCCTCAGAATTAGTTCAAAATCTTCCTTCAAGGACCTTTCTCGTATATCAGGCAGCTTCCATCCAACTGCAACCCGGAAGTTTCCCTAACTTGTTTCTCTTCATCATTTTCTTCACAATCCATGACCCAACATTTGCTTAAATGTTCGAAAAGCCTTGTCGTTCTGAAAATTCTGCACAAACCCGGATATAACTGAAGTCCAAGATACCACATCAGGCTCAATTCCGTTATAGCGCATCAACGTAAAAAGATTAGACGCCATTGCTTCATCGCCCTTCTGCGAAAACCCAGTAACCAAACTGTTCCAAGTTATCAAATTAGGCTTTATTCCCTCGTGTTGAGCAAACCCCGAAACCATAGCATTCAAAGCCACCAAATCTTTCTCCGCAATCATATAAAACACCCGATGCGCCTTCTCTACACTCCCGTTCTTCGAGTACATATCAACGAGAGCACTGCTAACAAAAGCATCAAACTCAAACGAGAACAGGAGCACCACGGCGTGAAGTTTCTCGCCGGTTTTAACATCCGAGAGGTGCCCACAGGCTTTCAAAACACTGGGAATAACAATCTTGTTCGGCCTCAAACCCTCTCTCTGCATCTCACAGAACAAACACTGTTCGTCGCAGGAATCTCCTGGCGGACGAGCACACAGCTCCCCTGGGAGAATGGCGTCGGTTGAGGGTATCTGTCGTACTTCTGCTTTCTTCTCGGGCTCGCTCGGGCAAGCCTTTGTCGGGCAGATCTTGGTCGGGCAAGACAAACTTCGGGCAAGGCTCGTCGGGCAGTTCTGAAAGAGAAGGGCAGAGTTAATTTGAAAGGGTGCCTTTGTGGGGCCTTAGGTGTAGGCCTTGAGGCTCACAATCAAGATTAACTTTGTCGTGCTCAGGCGTGCCACTGCCATATTCAGTATGGCAGATGTTGAATGAGTGTTTTAAGCTTTGATTGAATATGTATACGCCCGAGAAACCAAGTTAGATATAACAGGTGCCTTTGTGAGGCCTTAGGTATAGGCCTTGAGGCTTCCTGTCAAACTAAACCAGTGCTTGGATGTATCATATTTGGTCTTTTATGGTTGCCAGAGTCTTATCACTATTATACCTTTGATTATCTGAATCCAAGAGGTAGGACGAACCCAAATGAGTGCCTTTGTAGGGCCTTAGGTATAGGCCTTGAGGCTTCCCATCAGAGTTAATCCTTATACTCGGACCAACTAGACCACAACATGAAATGAAGCTAAATAGATGCCTTCGTGGGGCCTTAGGTGTAGGCCTTGAGGCTTTCTATCAGAATTCACTCCCTGCTTAAGCCTTTTCTACGAATCAAGATATAATAGCAACAAAACGGAGAAATAGATTGATTACTTGCGCCCCAAGTAACTTCGGACTTCTCGCTTGTCAAAGATTGTCGTGGATGGGTTGAGTCCACATAGAGTTCTTTTTTATGCCTTGAGGCCAAGGACTTTTAAACTGATCTTTAAATTACATGCCCGCGGGCTTCAGACTTAGATCTGATTTGAACTCTGACGCGATTCAGATCGGATTCAAGTGCTGAAGACTTATTTTCATTATGACTTTGCTAGAAATAACTTGTATATAACTGGGAATATATAACATGTTATTGTGCTTTTAAAAGAAAGAAAAGACAAAGACAGAGCAAAGCTAGTCGGGTAAGTTTGAACCTTATCGGCCAAGGCTGAACTTCTTACAAAATCTATCTTTGTGGCTCTGTCAGAGGTCTGAAAGCTTTTAGAGGGGTTGACGGGGGAGAAGAGGATACAAAATGAATCGATACCACCATGAACAAGGTAGCAGAGCTATTACAGGGGTTTGGGAAGGTTTATCCCGAATGGGATGAAGGCTTGGGCTGACTACAGCTTCGTTGAAGGCAAATCTGGCTTGAGCAGAGTTTTGGCTTTTGTTTGTTTGTTTGAGTGTCCTTAATTCTGTCTTCTCTTCCTCCTTTTATAGACGACTTCAGCTTGGGTTCTTGTAGCAATAGCGGTTGCCCGAATGCGGTTTGGTGATGACTCACTAGCTTTTTTACATGAATGCCACCAATAAAGTACTTTATTGGGCTGTGCAGTGACTGAATAACCTACCCCCTGTGGTCTTTGAGCAGGTAAGCAGGTGGCCTTTGTAACTTGTGCCCAGCCGAAAGCCTCTTTCCTGCCTCCTAAGTTTTCCTCTGGGCCTTGGGTTTGGGCCGGCTTTCTCTCTGGCCCAAAGTTCAGATTTTATCCCAAACAAACACATTGCCTGCTGATAAAACCCACAACGAGCACAGGCTCCGATGAGAGCAAACCAGCGGCGGATGTTCGTCTGGGGAATTTTGTCGAACAGTTTGCGGGCATGAACTATTTGGCCACAAGAAACATACAAAGCTATGAGCTTGGAGGCAAAACGGGTCAAACCGGCCAACCCATTGGTGCTTAAATGGGCGTGGAGTGCTCTTCCCGAGTGCAACTGTCGATCACGAGCGTAGGTTTCGATCAGATTTGGGTAGAAACCGGGTGATGATTGAAATGGACGGTGGTTGATGCGGTTGCTCTACTGAGCCGATGGGAGTGCTTGGACTTTGGAACCGCGCATTAACATTGGAACAGCAACTGTAAAGCGCGGGGAATAACCAAACTACCGTTATACCAGAAGATTGAAGTGAAGAGTACAGGTTACAATTACAATTTGCGTCAAAAGTTAAAAAGAAAATTGGAATATCTGTCCTCGAATTATGATTGAATTGTAGTTTTCGTTTAATAATTAAAATTCATTAAAATTATCGCACAATTTAGAGTATTGGTCATTCATGAGTCATGACAAATTCGTGAAATGTGAAACTCATACGAGTCTATTTTAAGGAGCATATTAAAATTACATAATTACCTCTTTTAACGGAAATTATCACAGAATTGACGTCAATGACAATGCTTCACAATTTGTGAAATTTAGATAACAATCTACGCATGTTACAAGGAAGAATTATTGTGAAATGCTGGAACATCGTCACGCAATATAACTAATATACTCACATGAAGTTATAAATTGCCTATTAATAAATTATCCTAAGGCCTAGAGCATAAACCGTCTATTTATATTGTGACTCGTGAGTTAGTTATACTTTTAACTGTATTCTAGTACTATAACACAAATGAGAAGATAATATGATTAAGGATCCCTTATCATAAAATTCTACTATACTCTTATGTATTATATGCACACAAAAATCGAATGTTTCAACATGCTATTAAATATCCAATAAACACGTTGTGACGGTTAGAGACCCGATGTATACTATACACAAGTGCATAAAAATGGTCAAGAACTAACTCACTCATTAAGCTACTACAAATGTTATTCATTTCAATTTTTCACCATAATGTTTTATTAGTTTGTAATACCGTCACTGCCTTACAACAACTCTATCCCCCAAAATAGAAAGTGGGTCCACATTTCCAAACAACTGATCCAAAATCTTGGCCGTCGATTTTACTCTCCATCCCTCTCCAGAACGTTGGAAGCTCAAAACAGAGCCACCAATGAAAGCAGGAAGCAGCACAACCCAACTTCCAAAGCTTCACATTTTCTCAACCACAATCTTCTAAGGGACATGAAAGTAATCATCAAATTTCTCATAAATTCTTCCCCCGACGTCGACGAACAATGCATGGATTGGCTCTCCTGCCTCTAACTCCACACACCCTCTGTTTCTTCAACCTCCCTCCTTCTTCTTCTTCTTCTTCTTCTTCGAGATCTCTGCTTTTTCTGCAAACCCGACCCGAATTTTCGAAACCCGTAACCAGCTTCTCGAATTTGAACCAGAAACGGCGGCGTTTTGCGACCGTTTTGAGAGCGAGTCGCAGAGAGTCTCCTTACCAGGTTCTGGGCGTGTCTCCTTCTGCAACTGATGTCGAGATCAAAAGGGCTTATCGCAAACTTGCTCTTAAGTATCACCCCGATGTTAACAAAGAGGTAATTAACAGTTTACGGATTCAAACCCATAACTTATATTTTTGTGGGGTTGTGGAATTGCTAGTGCTTTAGCTGCAAATTGAAGGTTTTTAATTTCTGGGTAGTTTTTTTTTTCCCTAATTATTTGTGTGATGATATAATTTTTAGGTATTTGATTTGATTTCGTGTTCATTAAATCTTTGCTTACCAAGTTTAAAGGATGCCGATTCATTGGAGGAGGCAGTTTCAATTTTATTTTTTTGGAGTTTGTTTATAAACTATTTTGAGCTAACGGAGGGC